ACACAATTTTCTTCCTTATACCAACAAATATTACTTTGCATAGACTTTGCATAAATTTGCACAATTTTCTTCCTTATATCAACAAACATTACTTTGCATAGATTTTCTTTCTTCCTGATACATATCAATTGAGATTCCATATTGAACATTTTTCAAATTCAACTCATCTGTGTCACTATCCCTGTGTCTAGTCTCCACACCCTTCCTGTCTTCTCCCAGCACTATTCACTCACATCTATCTCTAGTTACACATTATTCTTACCTGGGAAGCTTTGTAAAACATACCCATACCTGGGCTCCATTCCCATGACTTTCACTTAATTTGTCTGGGGTGATATCTTGGCATAGATAAAATGTTTTAAAGCTCCAGAGGTAATTGTAATATGCAGTCAAGGTTAAGAAGCCCTACTTTATGTACTACTGATCTTACGGTAATATTGTTATTTGTGAAACTTGATCTCCCACTGGTATTTTCAGCACTTTAAATCAGAGACTGTATCTGATTCATATATGAATTCCAGTGCCTGCTGAATTTGAACTTGTATGCCAAATGCTCTGTGGGGTACTCCAGAAGATCCAAATTTCAATAGGGTATCTCGTCATCCAGGAAATCACGAGCTGTTACAGAAGTATCAGACAAGAACAAACCTAATATGATCCTAACTCTGACCTAATAAGGCTATAAGGTGAGAAAAAATAAAATATTAGGATAGAGAGTCAAATCAAGTTGGGAAATCAGGAAGCTATCATGGAGAGGGTAGAATCTTAGGACGATGATGTGTGGAATTTTGAATAGCATTAGGTGTATGGTTTTGACAGAAAGAAACAGAAAATAGTGGGAAGATGAAAACAGAAGAATTTCTTGTAAAAGGGAACTGAGTAAGGAAAGAAGAGGTAGAAAAGTGTGAGGTCCATTAAGGAAACAATCTGAATAGCATTTAAGAAGCAACTATAGGAGAAGGTGGTGATGAAAGTAGAAAGTTGGTGGAGACCACGGACGCCTGGAAAGCCCAGTGGATGACTGGGGATTCCCTGAAGGTTCCTGAGCGGAGGAGTGATATACTCAGACATTTGTACTTTAAAAAGATCACTCTTCCCAATTAATTATCTTGTAGCTTTCAAAATGAACTTTTATGTGATCTAAATTACATTATATGAATACTATAAGCAAGGCTTGCTTTTTTTAAGAGATTTTATTTATTTATTATTTGAGAGAGAGAGTGAGAGAGAACATGAGCAGGGGGAGGGGGAAGGAGTAGTAGAGGGAGAGAGACAAGCAAATTCTGCGCTGAATGCTGAGCCCGACATGGGGCTTGACCCCAAGACCCTGCGAGATCATGACCCAAGCCCAAATCAAGAGTCAGGGGTTTACCCAACTGAGCCACCCAGGCGCCCCTATAAGCAAGGCTTTCTTATACCAAAGCCTTTTTCATTATGTGGTCAGTGTATTCATCAAAAAGCAGTTCCCTAAGGAACAGACACATAAATTACATGTGCTCTCAAACGACAGTATTTCATTAGTATAACTGAGAAGAAAATAAGTGAAGGTGAAGTAGTATAACAGCTATGGTAGTTCCCCCGAAAAACTGGCCTAAAATAGGTAAGTATCAAAATATTAGGGAAGTATCAAAATATTAGGGGAAGTATCAAAAGAAAAGAGGTGAAGAGAATTCCTTCACTTAATGTGCTTTTATTACTGACAAATGTAAATAAGTGTGTTAGTCTGTTACTTATTTCATGTAGTCAAATTTACTTTTCTGTTATTGCTTTTGACTGACAAATGCAATATTTGTTGTTGAAAAAGCCTGCAGAAAAATAATTTGCATAGTATGATGTCACTTTAGGCTGGAAGTCCTTGTTTAGATCACCTCTTAACTTGATGGACCGGCTGAAACCATGCTCCTCTGTGTATTGCCTCAGCAAGCCATATTTGTCCTATATCACTGCCCTATGGAGTGCTTTTGAGATCCACACCAAATTGTTTTTTTAATTAAAAAACTTCATTGCATTTTGTCAATAAAGTCATTAGTAAAACAACGGGCTCTATAACACATATCAAAAACCTAAAGCAAATCAATGTTTATAAGCATTGGATGCTCTTTTCATTTTTATTTTAAATTTGAGCCTAGAAAGCTGTGTGTGTGTGTGTGTGTGTGTGTGTGTGTGTGTGATTATGTATATATAAACATCCCAGTGAGAGGTGAAGAATAGTAAAACATTCCGATATTCATGGAGATATTTAAAACTCAAAAAATATTATTCAGAACCTAACCACACAATTCAACATTTTCTTTAATAGTAGCATTATAATAATATTTTAGGGAGTTACATGGTTAGGTTCCATGTATCATCACATGCCAACTCTATATGCTCAACTAGATTTTATGTGCCCTGTGCACCGTTTTCAGTCTTTTAACTGTGTTATAAACTCTAACATTTGATTGAGAAAAACAAATAGGTTAGATGAAGTGTCAAGATTAGAGACTTCTAGTTCCACGCAAGATGCAGTAAACACAATCTATTTTACTTCTCCAATCACAAAAAAACACTCTAGTCAAAACCTGTAAGTCATTTATCAGAAGAATCTAAGAGGTGGGAAAATGAAGGCAGACTGACTAGGTGCCTTAGGACTTAAGGAATAACATGACAGTGAGTTCCACAGTTTTGTTTTGTTTTTTTTTCTTTGTCTCATTTATCCCAATAATGCAAAATGCCAGGTAAAAACGGCATCCAAGAAAAGCCAAACAACTAGTAAAGCGTGGCCAAACAGAGCAGAAAACTTTTAATCACACTTGTCTATTCTAGGGGTGATACCACAAAAATGGCAGGTTGCTCCCCCACTCAAATAATGGTGCAGCAAGGGGTCGGCGAGAAACACCCCTCCCTGGTAGAGCCCATGGACAGAAACCTGTATTACACTCCCATTCCCAGTTCAACAAAGAGATGGATCCTTTCCCCATTAGTTCTGTGATAACTGACTTCCAGCCTCCATGAATTAAATAGGAGGCGCCTCTCCCCTCAGAGCACCTGGTTGCAATTCCAATTTCTACTCCCTGCTGAAATAATAAGGCAACAGAATAACTTTCTGCAGCAGAAGGTTTTGGGGGAGGGTGTGACTATTAGGGGATTACCTGAGGGAGTTCCCTGGTGGTAATGGAATAATCCTTTATGATTACCTTAATGATAGTTACCCTAATCTACACCTGTGATAAAATCTCATAGAACTCTATCTATGCCCTTTCAACCAACCAAACACAAAAACGAAACCTGGAGTAATCTAAATAAGGACTGTATCTAAATTAATAGTATGGTACCAAAGTCAATTTCTTTCTTTCTCTTTCCTTCCTTCCTTGCATGCTTGTGTGCTTTTTTAGTGAGAGAGAAAGAGAGAAAGAGAGTGAGCATGTGAGTGGGAGAGGGGTGAGGGGCAGAGAGAGAATCTTAAGCAGGCTCCATGCCCCGTGTGGAATGCAATGTGGGGCTCATCTCACAGCCCTGAGATCATGACCTGAGCTGAAATCAAGAGTTGGAAGCTTATCGGACTGAGCCACTCAAGCAACCCCCAAAGTCAACTGCTTTAAAAAAAGAAAAGATAGGGGCGCCTGGGTGGCTCAGTCGTTATGCGTCTGCCTTCGGCTCAGGTCACGATCCCGGAGTCCTGGGATCGAGCCCCGCATCGGGCTCCCTGCTCGGCGGGAAGCCTGCTTCTCCCTCTCCCACTCCCCCTGCTTGTGCTCCTGCTCTCGCTGTCTCTCTCTGTTAAATAAATAAATAAAATCTAAAAAAAAAGATATATATATTAGTTTATATATTAATATAATAGTATATCAGTTATTCAATTCTAACTTAAAGTTGTTTCTTTGTTTTTTTAGAGAGACAGTGCCAGCAGCGGGAGGAGCAGAGGGGGAGGGAGAGAGAGAATCTCAAGCAGACTCCCCACTGAGCATGGAGCCCAAGGCGGACCTCCACCCTGAGATCATGACCTGAGCTGAAATCAAGAGTCAGAAGTTCAACCAACTGAGCCACCCAGGCGCCCCAGTTCTAACTTACTTTAATGCTTTCTTCCTGAATATCTGGACACTGAATAACAAATGTGTTATGTGATAAAACTTTTTTAAAAATTCTGGTTTTGCCACTCAGATTTTCTAATACTATTACTAAACCAATATGACTAAGAATAACTATTTTCCCCTAATTTTCAAAATTTGGGATCGTAATCCAAGAAGAGTCACGACTTGAAAAGGAAAGGAAAGTTACTCTTTACACCTAAATAACACTCTTTATGGTTTACGTGAGTATAGGCATATTATAGGATAAGTTCAGTACGTGGGCGGTGAGTACCTGGGGGATAAACTACTGATGCAGTAGTTTTAAAGTAACTGAACACACAAAAAATTGAGGAAGTATAATAAAATTATAAATGACAGTGATAATACTTTGGTTTATGTGTCATGCCTTGTCCCTCAGGAATACAAGATTTCTCTTTTAATCTCACCATTTAACAGATAAGAGTTCTATATTGCTGTCTCTTTTTCAAATGACACAATTAAATGATAGGCAGTTATGTGCCTGGCCTTAGGCCACAATGGAAATCACTAGCAGGGTCCGACTCATAAATCAGGACTCATGCTCTCCATCAAGTGTCTTCAGCTGCACAGTTAAAGTAGACCATCTTCAGCTAAATCTCCACATGAATACCATTCCACTGAATGAGCCATAGTTGATACTAGAATATATCTATTTTTCAGTAGCATGGTTTCCAGAAGATTTTTCTGCCAGCATAGTGCTACTCCATTAGCAACATACTCAGGCATTTCATTTATTCTAATTTAATTTGTGCTCAAGTATTTTTTTGGACATTCGACAACTTTAAGTTACTTCATGGGTCGGAGATGTCAAGAACTATTCATTGTGATGGACCAAGCTTCTTCATCCTAACCTTATAAACAAACTTCCCCAAAGGGAAGGTAATATCATTAATGCATCTTGTCATCACTTACTTTCTTCTTTCCATTTCAAATCTATGGAGTAGTTTCCGAAGACCACCATTCTTAAATCCCTGAAAATGGGCAGCTGGGGCTCCCACAGTGATGACATCGTAGAGAGCATCTGGAACAGGAATAGAGAAGGAGATTAACACTTTGCAAACATTTGTCTCCAGCATGCTATCTGCATTGAAGCATACACACCGTGGGAAGTTTGAGAAATTATTCTGTTTAATTTTGTAGGACTAACTGAACTCTTATCTTAAGGGGGCAAGAGGAACTAATCAATCTTTCTAAAAGCCACCTGTGTACCTATACAAGTTATAATATTTCTTTGATTTATGACTACATCTTAATTATATGCTACTATGTGGAACAGTATGTTCCCTCATTCTTCTATATACTTACTGAGATAACATGTTAATTGGTCTTTTGTGTATTTTGCCTTATTGAGTTTTGCATCATTTAATTTGCAATCATACTGAAATTCAACAATAATGAACAATCTTTACAGAGAAAAGAACCAAAATATTAATTCATCTTGGCTCAAGGACAGAACAGTACTAGTGCATTTTTATCTATACAGAGTAGTTTCCTTTTTGTGTATACTAAATCTTACAGTTTTGAAAGCATGCTTTTGCAATTTTCTTAGATGACACAGAAAAAATACACACAATGTCTCTAGGTCTATTTTCCACCATGATACTTTTTTTTTTTAATAAAAAATCCATACATTTAAATTGAAACTCAATCCTTTGATCTTGAAAGCCATCAAGTTTGATACATATTAAGTTTACGGCTCCAAAACACAGCATCATTTTTACCTTCTAATGAAAAGTATCCCCATAAGAAGGAAGACAGAGTGAACATCTCTTGTTAAACTACATTTTATTTGAGAAACCTAATTTCATAGTAGATCCTTTTCAAATTGATTTTGGTATTGACACTGGTTGTTTTTCAGTTCTCATTTACAGGGAAAACATAAATTATTTTATTAGCTCCAGGTAAACACCATAACTTCTTTATACTGGTTCAATCCAAGTGCACCTGAAATATTTTTCTTAATAAAAAATGTCTTCAAGTGAAAGACTTCAGCAACACTGAGAGAACTCAAGGTCACACAAACAGAACAAAATAAAACAATACAGAAAACAAACAAAAAAAACCCAGAATGTAACCCAAATCAACCTATCAATAAGGCACTTACTGAACAGCCACTCAACAGATTGTTAGTGGTAATCTCTTGCCCTTTCAAAAAGTCACTAATAAACTAAAAATTAGCTTTTCTTAATATAGCAGAATATTAGACTTGCATGAAATTTAAAGACTTCTTCATCCTGGAGATTTTAATCTAGGGTTAAGAAAAGGGTTTTGGGGAGTCCATACATATATGCAAATTGTATAAGTATGTCTGTTTTACTTCTGGAAAAGGGTCACGGGTTTCTCAAATGGTCATGAGAACACCCAAAAGTTACCAACACTAAATTCCAGTCCACCTGCTTTGTCTAAAGTCCCAAAGACCTTACACCTATAGTCTTCTGACTTCTAATCCAGAGATGGAGAGCCAGGGGTTTAAGTTACTGACTGGAAACCCGAGTCCCTTGCTCTGGATCCCAGCTCTGCCACTTACAAGCTGTGCAGCATTAGGGAAATTACTTAACCTCTCTACGTCTCAGTCTTCTCAGGTAGATAATGAAGTTGAAAGTAGTTAAAAGTGGTGAGCATTCACTATTACCTATGATTATTTTCCCTATAAGAAGTAGTCCTACCAATGAAGCAAAGAAAGATAATATTTTAAGTTTTGCTTATTTACCATGAAAATACACTTTTCAGTCTGACAAGGAAAGTAATAATGAGGCTCAGTTTTCTGAATAGAATCAGTTCCTGTGTTAATTTAAAGTAAATGCAAAAAGAAACATCACCATCATGCTGCCATGAAATATGCTGCATTTCTGCTAAAACCTGGATGACCAACAATACCAACAATAGATAGAAGTAACTAAAAACTGTATACATATGTCCCATTAGCCCAAACTAAATGCATTCCTAACTGATTTTTTTTTTTTTTAATTGCCTGTAGACTCTCACTGGATTCAAAAAAAGTTTGTGGCCTCTCCAGCACCACCTAGCAAGAGGGGAATAATGAGGGAAGGGAAAAGCTGAGTAGAAAGAGAGAACAGTCTTAACTGATGGAGGTTAAAATAGCTTACTTTTGTAAAATTTGCAAAACACCTGACCACAAACATGTTGCTAAGGCCCCTTGCAGGATCTTGTAAGAGGCCCATTCACAGGAAAAGCCCCAAACTTAAGTTGCACTAGCTTTCTAGTGAATCTGTCTCTTCAATTCACCTATAGTTTCAGCATTTTCCAAAGCTACTTCCTAGGAGCAGAAATTTTCTCTTTGTTTATCCACTCTGCTCAGAGGAATTCTAGTCACATATGAAGGAACCATGAAACTTGGAAGCAGCAGGTAAAGGAAGAGAAGCAAGTTGCTCAAATATTGTCCACTTTTCATAATAAAGAGCTGATTATTTTTAAATCTAAATGAAGGCATGTGTGTTTCTTGAATCCAACTATAATAAAGAACTTCCAAGTTATTAACAAGTTCTTTCATATCCAAAGTTCTGACTTTTACTTGTTTCCATTCTATTTTCTGCTTATGAGCTCATCCAAGTTGTAGGTGTTCAATAAATGTCAATAAATAAATATTCTGAAGCTTAATTCAGTTTGTCTTATATGTCTTTATAGATCATATAAGGGATTATTATTCTTAATTGAAGAAATAAAAAATGTACATACACTATCCAGAAAAAAAACATATAGGAATCTGAAATATATGTGTGTATGTGTATATATATATAATACATATAATATGTATATATGTGTGTGTGTGTGTGTGTGTGTGTGTGTGTGTGTGTGTGTGTGTATAATCTCCATGGGATGGGATGAATACATATCCACCCATGGACCATATTATATAAAAGAACAAAGAGAATTTATGATTATTCACATGCAAAAGAATGAAATTAGACCCTTATCCTATAGCATGCACAAAAATCAACTCAAAATGGATTAAAGACTTAGACATAAGACCTAAAAGCGTAAAACTCCTAGAAAAAAACATAGAGGAAAAGTCTTATGATAATTGGTCTTTTTTTTTTTAAAGATTTCATTTATTTATTTGAGAGAGAGAGAATGAGAGATAGAGATCATGAGAGGGCAGAGGGTCAGAGGAAGAAGCAGACTCCCCGCTGAGCAGGGAGCCCGATGTGGGACTTGATCCCGGGACTCCAGGATCATGACCTGAGCCGAAGGCAGTCGCTTAACCAACTGAGCCACCCAGGCGCCCGATAATTGGTCTTTACAGTGGTTCGTAGATATGACGCTAAAAGCGTAAGCAACAAAAGCAAGCAGGACTACGTCAAACTAAAAAGCTTCTGCATAGGTAAAGAAACAAGAGACTAAAAAGGCAACATACAGAAGAGGAGAAAATATTGGCAAACCATATATCTGATGAGAAGTTAATCTCCAAAATATATAAGGAACTCCTACAACTCCATAGTAAAACAATTAATAACCTGACTAAAAAATGGGCTAAAGGCTTAAATAGACATTTTGCCAAAGAAGACATACAAATGGCCAAGAGGCATATAAAAAAATGTTAAAGGTTATTAATCATCAGAAAAATGCAAATCAAAACTATAATGAGATACCATCTCACACCTGTAAAAATGGCTACTATCAAGAAACACAAAAGACAGTGAGCGTTAGCCACAATCTGGACAAATTGAAATCCTTGCACAGGGTAGAACTATCATGGTTCAGTAATACCAGTTCTGGGTGTTTATACAAAAGAACTGAAATCAGGATCTCAGAAAGATATGAGCACCTCTATGTTCAGGTAAGCACTACAGTACACAATAGGCAAGATATGGAAGCAATCTAAATGTCTGTCAGTGGGTGCTGTATACATATAATGGGATGCTATTCAGCTTTAAAAAGGAAGGAACTTCTGTAATATGCAACAATAGGAATAATCCTTGAAGGTATCAAGTGAAATAAGCCACAAAAAGACAAATAATGCGTGATTCTCCTTGTCTGAGGTATCTTGGTATCAATGTTTCTATAAAATTTGAATTCAGTTTTATTTTTTATTTTTATTTTTTAAATTTGAATTAAGTTTTAATATACTGTCTAAAACAGGAAGAAATACAGAATTCCTTTAAAAATGTCTCACCACATATAAAACAAAAGAACCCAGTAACTTTGTGAGGAGATAAATATGTAAATTAGCTTAGCTATAGTCATCATTCACTATGTACATATATGGCAAAATATCATGTTATATACCTAAAAATATATATAATTTTTATTAAAACACAAAAACATATTTATTATTGAGATACTTTTGCAAATTTTAATTTTTGAGATAATTTTGGATTTCCAGAGTTGTGCAAAGTTAGAACAGAGTTCTGTATACCCTTCACTCAAGCTCCCTATGTTAATATCTCACATAGTCATTGACTATCAAAACTAAGAAATTAATATTGTACTATACCATTAAATAAAGTAGATAATGTTAGGATTAGTTTTTCCACTAACACCCTTGTTTTTTTCAGGATCCAGTCTAGAATTCCACATTTCATGTCACTGTCATGTAGTCTCCTCTAATCTATGACAGTTTGTCAGTCTTTCATTTTTGATTGTGACACTTTTGAAGAGTACTGGTCAGTTATTTTGTAGAGTGTCCCTCAATTTGGGTTTGTCTTATGTTTTCTCATAATTAGACTGAAGTTCTGCACTATTGAGTAGGATACTATGGAGGCGATATGCCCTTCTCAGTGCGTTATAACAGGGAGTATGTTAAATTGATATATATTACTTGATGTTACCCTTGATGCATTGGTCAAAGTGATGACTGCCACTACCTACAGTTGATTCTTCACTGTAAAGTTACTAAAGATTTAGAGAGACATATTTTAATGCAATATCCTGTTTCTTTTCAGACTTGTGCCCACTAATTTTAGCATCTATTGATATATCTTGCCTGTGGCAATTATTACTGCTGTGGTTGAATGGTGATTTTCCATTTCCCTCATTCCTTCCACATTTATTAACTGGAATTCTTTTGGGAAGAATAGTTGATCTTTCTCCTTTACTTTATATATTCAGTAATCTATGTATTTATTTTTAAAGATTTATTTATTCCTTTTAGAGAGAGAGAAAGAGCATGGGGGCCTGGGGCAGAGGGAGAGGGAGAGAGAATCCTTAAGCAGATTCCCTGCTGAGTGTGGAGCCCCACAAGGGGCTCAATCCCACGACCCCGAGATCATGATCTGAGCTGAAATCAAGAGCTGGCCGCTTAACCGACTAAGCCACCCAGGTGCCCCTCAGTTATTTATTTATTTATTTTTTAGATTTTATTTATTTATTTGAGAGAGCGAGAATGAGAGAGAGAGAGAGAGAGAGCACATGGGGGGGGTCAGAGGGAGAAGCAGACTCCCCGCTGAGCAGGGAGCCTGATGTGGGACTCGATCCCAGGACTCCAGGATCACGACCTGAGCCGAAGGCAGTCGCTTAACCGACTGAGCCACCCAGGCGCCCCCCCTCAGTTATTCATTAACGTCAATATGGACTCATGGGTATTTTGTTCCTTGGTTTATGATCTAACACCATATTTATGTTCAAGTTGTTCTAGCTTTGTCCATTGGGAACTCCTTCAGTTGGATCTTGTGCTATTTATATACGTCACCCTCCTCATTTGCTGTCATCATTGTTATTTGTTTCTTGAGCACTTCCTTCTTTTCTAGAGCCACTAGATACTCTAGACTCATATTTTCCCTGCCTCAGCTCTAGAATCAACCAGTTTTCCAAAGAACCCTAGCTTTTTTTTACTGGAGAATGGTGTTTAGAAATCAAATGCTGGGCGCATTTAGGTGGCTCTGTCAGATAAGTGTCATGATCTCAGGGTCCCGAGATCTAGCTCAGCATTGCACTCAGCACTCCGCGGGGAGTTTGCTTGTCCCTCTGCCCTTCTCTTGCTAGTGCTCTCAATCTCTCAAATAAATAAATAAGTAAATAAACAAACAAATAAATAAATAAAACATTTTCTTGAAAAAAAAAGAAATCAAATACTGGGGGTAGTTATGCTCATTGTTACTGTTTTCAATCTTTTCAGTGCCAGAGGTATGAAGTATATGCATATATATGCATACTAACTTGTAAACACACACACACCTGTATCTATCTATCTATATTAAGGACAACAAACCCATGAGTCCATATTTTTACTTCTTTTTTTTTTTTTAATTTTTTATTGTTATGTTAATCACCATACATTACATCATTAGTTTTCGATGCAGTGCTCCATGATTCATTGTTTGTTCATAACACCCAGTGCTCCATGCAGAACGTGCCCTCCTCAATACCCATCACCAGGCTAACCCATCCCCCCACCCCCCTACCCTCTAGAACCCTCAGTTTGTTTTTCAGAGTCCATCATCTCTCATGGTTCGTCTCCCCCTCCGACATACTCCCCTTTTCTTCCTCTCCTGTTATCTTCTTCTTTTCCTTTTTTCTTAAAATATGTTGCGTTATTTGTTTCAGAAGTACAGATCTGTGATTCAACAGTCCTGCACAATTCACAGCGCTCACCGTAGCACATACCCTCCCCAATGTCTATCACCCAGCCATCCCATCCCTCCCACCCCCAACCACTCCAGCAACACTCAGTTTGTTTCCTGAGATTAAGAATTCCTCATATCAGTGAGGTCATGTGATACATGTCTTTCTCTGATTGACTTATTTCACTCAGCATAACACCCTCCAGTTCCATCCACGTCGTTGCAAATGGCAAGATCTCATTCCTTTTGATGGCTGCATTATTTTCCATTGTGTATATATACCACATCTTCTTTATCCATTCATCTGTCGATGGGCATCTTGGCTCTTTCCACAGTTTAGCTATTGTGGACATTGCTGCTATAAACATTGGGGTACACGTACCCCTTCGGGTCCCTACATTTGTATCTTTGTGGTAAATACCCAGTAGTGCAATTGCTGGATCGAACGGTAGCTCTAATTTCAACTGTTTGAGGAACCTCCATACTGTTTTCCAGAGTGGTTGCACCAGCTTACATTCCCACCAACAGTGTAGGAGGGTTCCCCTTTCTCCACATCCCCGCCAACATCTGTCGTTCCCTGACTTGTTAATTTTAGCCATTCTGACGGGTATGAGGTGGTATCTCATTGAGGTTTTAATTTGGATTTCCCTGATGCCGAGTGATGTTGAGCACTTTTTCATGTGCCTGTTGGCCATTTGGATGTCTTCTTTGGAGAAATGTCTGTTCATGTCTTCTGCCCATTTCTTGATTGGATTATTTGTTCTTTGGGTGTTGAGTTTGTTAAGTTCTTTATAGATTTTGGATACTAGCCCTTTATCTGATATGTCGTTTGCAAATATTTTCTCCCATTCTGTCGGTTGTCTTTTGGTTTTGTGGACTGTTTCTTTTGCTGTGCAAAAGCTTTTTATCTTGATGAAATCCCAATAGTTCATTTTTGCCCTGGCTTCCCTTGCCTTTGGCGATGTTTCTAGGAAGAAGTTGCTGCGGCTAAGGTCGAAAAGGTTGCTACCTGTGTTCTCCTTTAGGATTTGGATGGACTCCTGTCTCACATTTAGGTCTTTCAACCATTTGGAGTCTATTTTTGTGTGAGGTGTAAGGAAATGGTCCAGTTTCATTCTTCTGCATGTGGCTGTCCAATTTTCCCAACACCATTTGTTGAAGAGACTGTCTTTTTGCCATTGGACATTCTTTCCTGCTTTGTCAAAAATAAGTTGACCATAGAGTTGAGGGTCCATTTCTGGGCTCTCGATTCTGTTCCATTGATCTATGCGTCTGTTTTTGTGCCAGTACCATACTGTCTTGATGATGACAGCTTTGTAATAGAGCTGGAAGTCCGGAATTGTGATGCCGCCAGCTTTGCTTTTCTTTTTCAGTATTCCTCTGGCTATTCGGGGTCTCTTCTGGTTCCATACAAATTTTAGGATTATTTGTTCCATTTCTTTGAAAAAAGTGGATGGTATTTTGATGGGGATTGCATTGAATGTGTAGATTGCTCTAGGTAGCATTGACATCTTCACAATGTTGATTCTCCCAATCCATGAGCATGGAACGTTTTTCCATTTCTTTGTGTCTTCTTCAATTTCTTTCATGAGTATTTTATAGTTTTCTGAGTACAGATCCTTTGCCTCTTTGGTTAGATTTATTCCTAGGTATCTAATGGTTTTGGATGCAATTGTAAATGGGATAGACTCCTTGATTTGTCTCTCTTCTGTCTTGTTGTTGGTGTATAGGAATGCCACTGATTTCTGTGCATTGATTTTATATCCTGCTACTTGACTGAATTCCTGTATAAGTTCTAGCAGTTTTGGGGTGGAGTCTTTTGGGTTTTCCACGTACAGTATCATATCATCTGCAAAGAGTGAGAGTTTGACTTCCTCTTTGCCGATTTGGATGCCTTTGATTTCTTTTTGTTGTCTGATTGCTGTGGCTAGGACTTCTAATACTATGTTGAATAGCAGTGGTGAGAGTGGACATCCCTGCCGCGTTCCTGACCTTAGGGGAAAGGCTCTCAGCCTTTCCCCATTGAGAATGATACTCGCTGTAGGTTTTTCATAGATGGCTTTTATGATATTGAGGTATGTACCCTCTATCCCTATACTCTGAAGAGTTTTGATCAAGAAAGGATGCTATACTTTGTCAAATGCTTTTTCTGCACCTATTGAGAGGATCATAAGATTCTTGTTCTTTCTTTTGTTAATGTATTGTATCACGTTGATTGATTTGCGGATGTTGAACCAGCCTTGCAGCCCAGGAATAAATCCCACTTGGTCATGGTGAATAATCCTTTTAATGTACTGTTGGATCCTATTGGCTAGTATTTTGGTGAGAATTTTTGCATCCATGTTCATCAAGGATATTGGTCTGTAATTCTCCTTTTTGATGGGGTCTTTGTCTGGTTTTGGGATCAAGGTAATGGTGGCCTCATAAAATGAGTTTGGAAGTTTTCCTTCCATTTCTATTTTTTGGAACAGTTTCAGGAGAATAGGTATTAATTCTTCTTGAAATGTCTGATAGAATTCCCCTGGGAAGCCATCTGGCCCTGGGCTTTTGTTTCTTGGGAGATTTTTGATGACTGTTTCAATTTCCTTAGTGGTTATAGGTCTGTTCAGGTTTTCTATTTCTTCCTGGTTCAATTTTGGTAGTTGATACATCTCTAGGAATGCACCCATTTCTTCCAGGTTATCTAATTTGCTGGCATAGAGTTGCTCATAATATGTTCTTATAATTGTTTGTATTTCTTTGGTGTTGGTTGTGATCTCTCCTCTTTCATTCATGATTTTGTTGATTTGGGTCATTTCTCTTTTCTTTTTGATCAGTCTGGCCAGGGGTTTATCAATCTTGTTAATTCTTTCAAAGAACCAGCTCCTAGTTTCGTTGATCTGTTCTACTGTTTTTTTGGTTTCTAGTTCATTGATTTCTGCTCTGATCTTTATGATTTCTCTTCTCCTGCTGGGTTTAGGCTTTATTTGCTGTTCTTTCTCCAGCTCCTTTAGGTGTAGGGTTAGGTTGTGTATTTGAGACCTTTCTTGTTTCTTGAGAAAGGCTTGTATTGCTATATACTTTCCTCTAAGGACTGCCTTTGCTGTATCCCAAAGATTTTGAACAGTTGTGTTTTCATTTTCATTGGTTTCCATGAATTTTTTTAATTCTTCTTTAATTTCTTGGTTGACCCAGTCATTCTTTAGCAGGATGCTCTTTAGCCTCCATGTATTTGAGTTCTTTCCGACTTTCCTCTTGTGGTTGAGTTCTAGTTTCAAAGCATTGTGGTCTGAAAATATGCAGGGAATGATCCCAATCTTTTGGTACCGATTGAGACCTGATTTGTGACCTAGGATGTGATCAATTCTGGAGAATGTTCCATGGGCACTAGAGAAGAATGTGTATTCCGTTGCTTTGGGATGGAATGTTCTGAATATGTCTGTCAAGTCCATTTGGTCCAGTGTGTCATTTAAAGTCTTTATTTCCATGTTGATCTTTTGCTTAGATGATCTGTCCATTTCAGTCAGGGGGGTGTTAAAGTCCCCCACTATTATTGTATTGTTGTCAATGTGTTTCTTTGCTTTTGTTATTAATTGCCTTATATAATTGGCTGCTCCCATGTTCGGGGCATAGATATTTACAATTGTTAGATCTTCTTGTTGGATAGACCCTTTAAGTAGGATATAGTGTCCTTCCTCATCTCTTATTACAGTCTTTGTTTTAAAATCTAGTTTGTCTGATATAAGGATTGCCACCCCAGCTTTCTTTTGGTGTCCATTAGCATGGTAAATGGTTTTCCACCCCCTCACTTTCAATCTGGGGGTGTCTTTGGGTGTAAAATGAGTCTCTTGCAGACAGCATATTGATGGGTCTTGTTTTTTAATCCAATCTGATAGCCTGTGTCTTTTGATTGGGGCATTGAGCCCATTTACATTCAGGGTAACTATTGAAAGGTATGAATTTAGTGCCATTGTATTACCTGTAAGGTGACTGTTAACTGTCTGTTGTCTGTGTTCGTTTCTGCTCTTTGCTGCCTTTAGGTTCTCTCTTTGCTTAGAGGACCCCTCTCAATATTTCTTGGAGGGCTGGTTTCGTGTTTGCAAATTCCTTTAGTTTTTGTTTGTTCTGGAAGCTTTTTATCTCTCCTTCTATTTTCAGTGATAGCCTAGCTGGATATAGTATTCTTGGCTGCATATTTTTCTCGTTTAGTGCTCTGAAGATATCTTGCCAGTCCTTTCTGGCCTGCCAGGTCTCTGTGGATAGGTCTGTTGCCAATCTAATGTTTCTACCATTGTAGGTTACATATCTCTTCTCCCGAGCTGCTTTCAGGATTTTCTCTTTGTCTCTGAGACTCGTAAGTTTTACTATTAGATGTCGGGGTGTTGACCTATTTTTATTGATTTTGAGAGGGGTTCTCTGTGCCTCCTGGATTTTAATTCCTGTTTCCTTCCTCACATTAGGGAAGTTTTCTGCTATAATTTGCTCCAATATACCTTCTGCCCCCCTCTCTCTCTCTTCTTCTTCTTCTGGGATCCCAATTATTCTAATGTTGTTTCGTCTTATCGTATCACTTATCTCTCGAATTCTGTCCTCGTGATCCTGTAGTTGTTTCTCTCTCTTTTTCTCAGCCTCTTTATTTTC